TTTTATTTCCTTCTCGAATCCCTTTGGGAACGAACTTTGCATGGTGATGTCTTGTGAAGAGCCGCTCCAGCCGATGATACATACCCAACTGTGGTCTGTGATCGCCATGTCAGCAAAACTCAACTTTCCCCACGACGCCTGGTAAGGCTGCCGGTGCCGAGAGTTTGGAGAGGTCGGAGTGGAGGCCGCGATACTGTTAAGCATACCGACTTTCTCACCTGGCGCCAGGCAGAAATGGAGAGGGGTGGAGTGTCCGTTGCCTTGTCGTACCCATCCATTCCGACCTGCGAGACGCATCTTACTGACACCTTGCAAGGCGGACTAAAGGTGAAGAGTGGTTTATTGGATTCGTTGTGGGGGGTGCTTATGCATCTCGGGTCTGACAGAGACAGGCGGGGGGACAGGGGAGGGGATGAGCGACCCTCACGTAATCACAAAGTGGGAAGAATCAGCCTCAATAACGATGATGAATGGAAGCTTGAGTGGAGGCTAGAGTTTGGGCATTCGTGGTAAGCGAAGTGGACGTTGAGACTCGGTGCTGTGAGTGAGACTGAGCTCAAGACTGCGATAGCCCCATATTGAGATCAGATTGTGAACATCTTGAGTCTCAACTTTTCAACGCATCACTAATTACGCATCACCATGGACGTAACTCAAGCCAGACGGTATTGAACCAGAAAAAGAGGTCACTTATACGGTGCCCCTGTCTGTATTAGATATGTATGTACTCATTAACCCTCACAAAACTCCTAGACGCTTGATTTCCAAAAAAAACCTCATCATCAAAAAGACAATCATGCACGGCACATGCGGCCATCAGCAGCAACATTCCACTTGTCGCTACCGACCGTCTTGAGCGCGTAAAATACGCCCGAGGGATCCCACTTGGTCTTGATGGTGAGCAACTTGTCATAGTTGCCGCCAAAGAACTTCTCCTTCCAGTCGGGGATGTTGAAGTCGGCCTCGTTGACGTAGTTTCCGGACCCGGGCGTCGCGGCCTCGATGGGCGGGATAATTTCTTCCGTCATGGTCTTCTGGTCCGCCTTCATCTGCTCCCAGTCGGCCGGGTCGTTGCTCCAGGCCGTCGAGTACTGCACGTGGATGGCGGCCTTGCGGAAGTGCGGGTTCACGGCGTTGTCGACGCCCGCGGGCGCCGTGGCGTTGAGGGCCACGCCGGCGGAGAGGACGCCGTGGTTGTCTGCGCCGTAGCGGATGGCCGAGACGTAGGTCGCGCGGGCGGCGGTGTCGGTGAGGACGGAGCGGGGCACGAGGCGGGAGCCAAAGTTGTAGGACTCGACCTCGACGTGGCCGTAGGGGAGAGGGCCCATCCACTTGTCGTAGTGGTCGCGGTAGCTCGAGTAGTTTGTGGCGGCGGAGGAGTAGGGGATGGAGAGGTTGGCGAGGACGTCGAGGAAGGGCTGGAGAATGGTCTTTGCCTCCTCGGCCGTCTTGTTGTAGGCCGTGAGCGGGTTGATGGCGAAGACGCTGCTGCTGTAGAGGAAGACGACCATGGCGCCCTGGTCAGTCATGCCGGGGAGGAGGGAGTGGAAGGCGTCGAGCATCTGCCACCACTTTTCCTGGGTGGTGTACGAGGCCGCCGTCTGGAGGCCAACGCCGCCGATGGTGGCGTCGGGGTATGCGCGGACGGTGACGGCGGTGACGACGCCGAAGGTTCCGGGGCCGCCGCCGCTCAGGGCCCAGAAGAGGTCGGCATTCTCCGTGCGGGAGGCGGTGACGATCTTGCCGTCGGCGGTGACGACCTCGAACTCGAGCGCCTGGTCGGCGGCCATACCGAAGTTTGTGGTGAGGGCCGAGTGGCCACCACCCTGGATGTAGCCTCCGGCGGGACCGACGGTGGGACATTCACCACCGACGACGACGAGGCCGGCGGTCTTGCCGGCCTCGGTGAGCTCGTAGCCGAGAACGCCGGCGCCCATCTTGATTGCGGGGCCGGACCAGAGGTCGTCGGACCAAGTGGTCACGGTGATCTCCTTGAGCTTGTGGGTCCATGCCGCGAGGGCTCCGGCACCAGTTGAGCGGCCAAGATGGCTGAGCCGTTCGTTAGCGGGAATGCTTTATGGCGCGGAAAGGTCCTCCAAGTAGGAAGAGCAAATGGTGCAGACTTACTCGTGACCGGTATTGCGGACGAGGAATCGGATGTTGTTCTCTCGCGCAAAGTTGATGGTCTCGACAACATCTTGGGCAGATGTCACCTCAACAGCGTAGTTGACATAGTTTCCAAGCAGACACGGAAGCGTGCGGTCCGTGAAGGGGTCGCAGGACTGGTTGGCGAAGTAGCTCTGCATCACGGAAGAGGAGGAGGGGAAACTGGGCGGGTTGTTAGACGATATTCCGCATTACTTGAGAGATCAAGCATGAGCTTACTGAGTCTCGGGAAGAGTCCACGAGTTCTGCAACGCCGTGCAGGCAGCCTCATCGTAGTTGGGGTCATGGCACACGGAGCCAATGGGCACGGTGGCGATGAGCTTGCCGCTGACGGTGGTGTTGAGGGTATCCCAAGCCGTCGTGGCGGGCCAGCTGGCATCGCCGGGGAGGGAGCGGCACGTAGCATTGTCGACGCGCTTGGGGAGGAGACCCGCGGTCGCGAAGGGCGCGGCGGCCAGGGTCGCCGTAGCGATGACGGCGGAGGACTTCATCTTGACAGGGCTGAAGAGAGAAAGGAGCGGAACGGAGGAAAGTCTTGGAGCCTTGAGGAAGAGGACGGGAGGGGATGACCGACCCGAGGGGGGATATTAAAGAACGACTAGGCTGCAGGGTAGACTCCTGACGAGTTCATCAAGTGGGAGGGCCATGATGCAGAGTCTTTATATTGAGGAAGAAGCAGACTGCATTAGAGAATCGAGAGACAGTTCATGAACGACCAGGGATCTGTTTGCGGTGCGACGGCGAGCTTTGCTGGCCCTGCTAGGCGGGCTGTGTTGCTGGTGCTTGAACATGGTGCTTGAGGCATGGGGGCGGATAATGGATGTCAATCTCCCTTCTCGACTGGGTTGTGTGTGAGGAGCAGCGTGAGTGTGTCGAGAGTCGAGAGTTCTCCTCCCACGACAAGCCTAGGGCTCGTTGCTGGGATTATCCCCCTTTGGGCAGCATGCTCCGGGATAGTGTGGTGGCTACGGGGTAGATGCGGAGCCCCCCTTCAGCCTTTGCTCTCTCTCTCTCTCTCTCTCTCTCTCTCTCTCTCTCTCGCAGAGTCTCTCTCTCACACACACTCTCCTTGATTCCATGGGGCTTGAAGCGAGGCATGGACCAGGGCAGTTGTGTGCCATCCACACCTTGCACTTACTTCTCATCCGCTCTTCTGCTTTGACTACGGAGATCGACACGAGGTTCTGTTGCGTAGGACAAGAAGAATTGGCAACCGTCCAGGAGCCCTCCGAAGCCGAAGGAAGGAGACGGGGGGCTTAGATGTCAGAAGAGGGAAATGAGACGTGCGTAACCTGTCGTTCGATTGCGGCAGGCTTCTGGAAGGGGATGTGGAAGAAAGTTGACGAAGTATTGACTTTTGCATGAAATTCGAATCTCGCAAACTACCGGGGGTGCTGGTCAAAGCGGCTGGAATGGGATGAACAAACAGGATGACAGCCACAAACCGCTTACTCTGCACTTCTCAACTCTACATACATAGAAACTCAATGTGAAAGCGAAGTGAACGCGAGCAAGTGCGAGGAACCTAATCAACGGGTCAACGTATCCGTATGGACTCTGGCCCCCCCCCCTGTTGGCGCTAGCTGCTGTGAACTCGTGGAGTTTGCCTCGGCCCCGATGATCAATGTTCCCCTACTGGACCAGTTGAGGTCCGATGGAGAACCCAAGAAGCCCCTGTATTTCCCCTTGATCTGGATCCTTCGCGCCTGCAATCCGGGTCTCCATTCCCTTTTGCGCGTGCTCGCTCTCTCTGTTCCTGCAGCACAGGCCCTGATGCTGGTTCCGTTGCTACATCACTGGCGGACAACTGGACGATGGGGGCCGTCGCGTGTCCTTGACACCTTGACGTTGGGCGGAAGTTGGGATCAACGGGAAGGGCTAATGGGACCTGTTATTCTCTGCCCTACGCTGATTAAGTACGGATGAACGCCCGCTGAGTCGTATAAACAGTAACACGAATGAAAATCTGGTGGTGTCTGTGTTGACTTGACTCGCTAGGTTGAGAACGCCGTCTATTTTGAGTTGAAAGAACAAAGCGTCAGCTAAGACATGCATACATAGCACGCGCCCCGAGTGTGCCAGTGTGGGGGACTGACGGCATTCATCGATCAGGTAAATCTCTTGTCGTCTTTTCTTCTTTTTCCAATGGTTGGATGGACTTGTTCCCTCTTTGGGCAAAGGCAGACACACCATTCTGCGAGAATCAACAACAACCGAGTTCCGACAAACTAAACAAGATCGAATCTGCCGGAGCAGAAAACAATAGTTTGCCGCCTCTCCCGTAAGGAACCACGCCACGCAACCGCATGAGGTAGCAAACACAGAAACGGCGTTACGGCAGCCATTCTTTTTTGTCTTAAACGCGGTTTCTCCGTGGTGTCCGCTCAATAGCATCAGCCACTAGCGCCGCCGTTGTGTTTCCCATCAGGATTTAGGTGCGGCGTTTGTGGCCCGTTCAAGCTTCTCAACGGTCCTCTCCCGCGAAGACCAAAGTTTAGATTTTTTTAGCTAGACCGTTCCAACGTTCCAAGGGGGCCCACGATGTCACTCACTAACCTCGGAGGCAAAGGACGGAAGAGACGCAAAGGTAAGGGGGCTATTTTGGCAGCCTGGCACGTTGTGCCAACGTCGCATGTGGCGACATCGAACCATGCGCCCATATAACTTCGGCGATATATTCAAAAAGATCTGTGAAGTTGAGTGGGCCGTCGAGTCCAACGTCCAACATCCAACAGCCCCGCAAAGACTCTGAGAGAGGGGACGGTTGGGGGGGATCCAACCGCAACCCTATGCGAAGCAGCGAATCTCTTAGCTTCGGAAGAGTGCCGAACCTGGCATCTTCCCGCTGCGCCTCCAAGCGTTGCAGAAGAGCAACGGCCAGCATGCCAGCAGAGCCCAGTTTTACTCCTTCTCTTCTCCTCTTCTTTTTCTCTCTGGCGTTTGTGTTTGCTTACGGAATACCAATACCTTGCTTACCATCGCGCCAACACGTTCTGCGGTTTCCTTTTGGCGCCAACACGTGCTGGTGCCAACGGGATGAGGGGCCGGGAGGCGAACCGGTGGATTCGGATGGGGATGTCTGCGCCGGGATCATCTCGGGGATCAAGTCTTCTTTCGAAGCTCGTGCTCAACGTTAGTTTGATGGAGTCTTTGAGACACAAGAGAGAACTAGTATAGACTAGTACGAGGAGAGCCTAGGAGGCTGACGCAACTTCCTCCCATGTCTATCCGTACAGGTGTCTATATTCCGATGGTGGGGGCCGTTTTTATCGACGGATACGTCCTATCCTCCTTTTGCCTATTCTTCTGTCTCCTTCGGGAAGGAAGATATGCGGCTCTGCCCATTGTCGTCCTCCTCAATCCGTATCTTGCAGCTATTGTCCGTCGCCATGGCCCGGGTCTATCGGTGTTTGCCAAGTCTCTAGACTGCGTTACACTGCAGGACAATCCACAGATCTCGGAGAGGCCTGGTGGTGGCAATCATCCTCACGTGGACGAATCTCCAGATTCCGAGGTCGTGTTCAGTGAATGCTACTTTGAGAAATACGCGGTCCACGACCGAGTAGGCTAGCTCGCCACCGACTCGGAGAGATACATAACGGCTGAGGCTTATCACGATACCGCTGCCGGTTGTCAGCTGTCATTGTCGAGTTGGGCAGGGTCGGCCGCCAGCAGGGACTTTGTCCTCGGCGACGAGACCCCAATTCAGATGTGGTTGCCGGTGGATGAACCCTGAGAACGTCTCAGGTACGTCTTCGCCATCGGTGAATTGCCATGTCCGAATGGAAACGGTATGCCAAATTCTGGACTCAGTCTCTATGTTTTCTTGCGGCATTAAACTTCTACAAAGGAGGCGCAGAGTGGTTTGGGGGTTGGGGATAGACTTGGCGTGAGTTCTATTGAAAATACAGTGATTCCCATGTACTGCCTGAGTTTGAGTGAGTCTATATATGCCGTGTTTTATACTTTTCTTTTCTTCTGATTCATTGCGACTTGATACAGTGGACGATAAGTAGTCGGGGTCCTCCTAATGCACGAGGAATACTGGTGGTGAATACGCACTCGTTGCCTGATTCACTGAATACCCAACGGCCCGCCTCCGCAGATCTTATAAGGAGTCTATGGCCATCGCATTCTAACAACAAGTATCGGGCCTGGTGACCGAGGGGTGAATGTCGTGAAGTCTTGACTAGTCCGTGATGCTCCGGCCTATTTCTGGGCTCCGGTGTTCAGACCTCGGTCGGCTCCTGTTGTTTTTGCCTCTTTAATCCAGTCAATATTTCCAATTGAACTTCCACTGTTGCATAAAGTATCTAGGTAATGTGGCAGATGCTCATCAGGAGCTGAATGTCACTCATCACTTCATGAGCTAGCTGCATGTAGCACTCGCTTGGCACAGTCGTGCTCGGCACGGCCATTGCTACCCAAGGCAAGGTAAAGGGACTCTGAAGATCGTGACACGCTTGGCGGCGGATGCCTCTGCAACGCTACCTCATCTTTGCCATTTGCGGGGTTGAACGCATCTCATTGAACGCTCAGCATTCCCCGCTCTCGTAGTCCCAAGTAGCTCCTTCAGATTCTTCCACGATGAAAGGGGGGAAATCATTAATGGATGCTCAAGTGAGGTCAGGTTGAGCGAGACTCGAGGGCTTATTAGAATTAGTATACGACTCCTTTCAAATAATCCTCAGCTACATGCCTCTAGATCCTCTGGTGACAGGAGAGCAAGAGAACTGACCCCAGTACCTCACTCCTCCTTCTCAGGCTATCCATTACTGTACCTCCCGATCCTTCCCGCCCGGATTTAGATCGACATGAAGACTTGATGCTTCCGAGAATGCCTTCCGATCGCTTGCCTGTGAGTGCAAGGGGCTTCTATTCGGGTACGTGTTTGTGCAGCTTGCGTGCCGTGCCGCTCATTGCCAAGTCTCTTTGCCACAGTCCTACACTGGATGCTCCCAACGATCTAGGAAAGACTTGCTCCCATGCCACTGAACTGCCGTTGCATCTGCTCGAGCCCGCAGACGTAGAGACGTGGACCCGAATATTGATGGTCTTTCCTGCAAGAAGCAACTCATCAAAGACCGCCGTGGAATAAAAGGTTACAGAGAAACATTTTGACTTGCATGCTTGTTTACCAAATTGGCTTCACTAACGGCTTCAAGTAAAAGCCACAAAAGGCGACCCAAGAACACGACCACTCGAATCAATCTTTACGCCTTCCTTTCTCAAAAGCATCCTCTTCTCATCAAGCGTAATCCCTTCCCCGTTCTTCGGCCACTTGCCCTTGAATCCGCCCAACGCACCGCCCGTAGCAACGACTCGGTGACACGGCACCTGCGGCGCAAAGGGATTTCGACGCAGCGCGTTGCCGACGGCCCTCGGCGACGACTTGAGATGCGCCGCCAGGATGCCGTACGTCGTGATCTGGCCCTTTGGTACCTGGCACAGCGCGGTCCATACCCGCTTCTCGTACGCGGTGCGATTTGAGCGGGCGATGCGGTCTAGTTGTGTCTTCATGCCTTCGCCTTCGGGAATGGATATTGAGATGATGTCGCGCGTCGCGGGCATCTTCTTGGTGGAGGTGGTTGTGGTGGTGGTTGTCATGGCGATGGTATAAGTGTGAGATGAGTGAGAGGGTGTTGCTGAAGGGCGTCGTGGGGTTTTAAGATTTGTTTGGTTTGTAGACTAGTATTACTGAGTGAAAAGAAATGTTATCGCGAAGTAAGAAACGGGAGAAATCGAGGCAATAAGGCGCGTGTGAAAATGGCTTTCTGAGTCAACGGCGAAGGTTGGGTCAAATGTCAAGACAAGGGCGCGTCACAAGCGCGACGGTCCAAGCGGGGACATTTGACGCGAATTCGCGGGGTCATGTGACTGGACACTTAACCAAGGGTGAAGCACCACTTCAACATTGGACGTCAGACAACCAAAGGTGAGGTAAGACAACATATATTCGTAGCGGGCTTTTCTTCATTCTTTACACTTAGAGGAACTCTCAAGTCCAACGTGACTTATTTTGGGGTAGTATAGAAATACCAAAAGGTATAAGTGACAGCACAAAAAAGAGTTCACCCCCCCGGTGCTGAATTGGGGGCTACATCTCTTAGTGCTCATGCTGGGATTCGAACTCGGTACTCGTATGCGCTAAGCCTGTCGTCGAGTAGGCTGGTTGGTGTAGAATTTGACTGTTGATTCACCATAAACCATTCCACCACCCAGCCAGTTTGACCTGACCCGTCGACCTAGACGGGCGCCTCCTGGCTGGTGACAGGAATGGACTTGGAGGGGTATATAAAGACTCTCCTGGTGATCAGATGAAGATTTAGGTGCGTATTCGTGGAGTTGTGGGGAGCGATACATTGGGCTCTCCAGCAATGATCTTATGTGGATTTTGCATACCATCATATTTATACGGGTATCGGTGACATCTAGACTTCCTAGACCTGATTCCATAGTGTACTCTTTTCCCCCATAACGCCAGAATAAGGTACCCAGACGTGACAATGCTGCCATTGCGGTAACACGACCGCAAGCTTCAACGACTCCTCCGAAGCAAGAGACCATCCAACAGCCCCCCGAATCCATAACCCAGGCCTCTTAATCCCCAGTGTCAACCTCAAGATCGAGCTGCACACCGTTGCTGACACCATAATCCTCCAGGGTAAGATTATCCTTGAACGGCCGTTCGCCCTGGCGCTTCAACAAGATCTCGTGCGGCTCCCGTCCGACGCGTTGCGCCACCATAATCTTGAACATCTTGACCGGGTCCGACGCCAGACAAGGGATCGCGGCCTTGGTACCGAGACGGTCGTTGACGTGCACGATAATCATCTCCTCGCCACCGCCTGCAGCCGGCGCGGGCGCAGACTTTTCCTTTTTGGGCTTCGTCGGCGCATCTTTTGAGCTCGAGGCGCTGGCGGTGGGCTTGTTGTCTCTGTCTCTGTCTCGATCTCTGCCCGAGTCGCGGGGTCTGTAGTTATCGTCGCCGCCGACGCGGCGGTCGTTGCGGCGATCTCTGTCCGAGTCGCGACGAGGGGAGCGGGAACGGTTGCGGTAGCCTCGCTCGAGGCCTCTTCGTTCGTTACCGTCGTCACGGTCGTCTCTGCGACTCTTGTCTTTCCATCTGAAACCACCTTGTTTCCGTGGTCTATCTCTGTCTCGATCGCGCCGAGGCGAGCGCGATCTTGATCGTGCTCTGTCGGCCATCTCGAGGTGGGTTGGTGGATGGTTGATGGTAGGAGATGGAGCCTGCGAAACTGCAGTGGGAGCTCAGCTTGCTGCCGTGCACTGTGACCTCACCGCTGGCCCCACCAGGCGCGGTGCGGGTCATGGTCACCCGGCGGCAATGACAGGATTATGTAAGCCAGAGGCATTCCTCCTCGAGGCTTCACCATTATCGTTGAGAAAATTAATACAATTGATATATGTTGCTTTCTCCATATCACTATTGGGAGAAAGCTCATGACTGGGGAACTTCGACTTCTTTTATTCAGAGTCTATTCTATAGTTTGTAATGCAACCACCTAGTCCCTTTACTCGTCTAGGGCATTGGAGGAAATAGCCGTTACAAGCCTGTTTGACAGACTTTCCAGCATGTCGGTGCCTTGTGATGATGCCTCAATCTTTGATTCCTCGATTGACTCAAGAATCGTCTTGATGCCAAGACCGATCTTGTCCGACCGAGTATCATTGCGTACGGACTGGATGACGGTCTGAATGTCGTTGCCGCCAAACATTCCTGACTGGTCCAGGACTTGAGCGAGTTCGCGTACATCGGAAATGGCGGGCACTGGAATCTGTCTGCGGAAGTGCTTGAGAACACCCAAGTTGCTGAGAACGAAGCGTTCTGAGGTGGTGACCATGATGAGAATACGACGGCCCTAGATGGAGTTAGTAATGTCGTCAAAATATAAAGAAACAAGAGCAACTGATACTGACCTTTGGCGGTTGGGTCTGGATGAGGGAAATAAGTCTGTCGAGCACCGTGTTGGAGAAGCGTGGTCCAATGGGATTCCACTCAATCAGTTGCTCAAAGTTATCCAAAATCACGATGCTACGCTCCGACTTATAAGCGTCGGTGAAAACCTTGGTGAGGTAATCCTTCTTTCCAAACTCATCTCGGAAAGCAGTCAAGTGCTGAGGCGAGATAAGCTTGACAAAGGGGAAATCTGAGAGGGAGGCGGTGTGAGCGGCCAGAGCAGTCTTGCCTGACTCAGGGGGGCCGTGAAGAAGGACTGGTATCCTGTTGAGAACATCTGACTCCTTGACTGTGTCGATGTAGCCCTGCATCGTGCGGATAATGGCGGGGATGTTGTTGTTGAACTGAAGGATGCCCATACCAAGTGCAAACGCGAGCTCGTCTTCAGAAACACCATAAGCAGGCTTAACCTCAGTCAGTGCGTTGTCGAAATCATCCATGGTGATCTTCATCGCGGACACATCGTTCTTCATCTTGGCGCTGTTGCCAACCTCAGTGTGACGGTTGAAGGCGAATGAAGTCGCAGCCTTGACGACACCAGAGATCTCGGCACCAGAGTAGTTCTTGGTGCGAGCTGCCAGTGAGGCGAGGTCAACCTTGGAGTCCATAATGTTGTTGTCTCGCATCTTGGCAGTGTGGATCATGAAGATTTCCTTGCGTCCCTCTTCGTTGGGCAAGCTAATCTCCAACTGAACCTCCAAACGACCGGGACGCAGAAGCGCCTCATCGATCATGTCCTTACGGTTGGTCATACCGATGAGCAGGATGTTGTTGAGCTGGTCAACACCGTCGAGCTTGGTGAGAAGCTGGTTGACAACACTGTCACCGACACCAGTGCCGCCACCGGCACCGGAGCCTCTTTGCTTGCAGACGGCATCCAGCTCATCGAAGATGATAATGTGAAGACCACTCTGGTCGCCCTTCTCCTTGTACTCCTTCTCAGCATCCGCAAACATCTTTCGAATGTTCTCTTCAGATTGACCGACAAATTTGTTGAGCACCTCAGGACCGTTGATGATCTTGGGCTCACGAGCGTTAAGCATCTTTCCGATTTGTCTGGCGATAAGCGTCTTTCCGGTTCCAGGGGGGCCGAAGAGCAGGATGCCCTTGACGTGCTGAATACCCAGCTTTGCTACCAGCTGGGGAGGGAAGACACGAGAAGCAAAGGCTCTGCGGAAAATGGTGGCGAATTCGTCCTGGAGACCACCGATGCCCATATCCTCAAACTTGAAGTCTGGCGAGATAATGGGGTTGGCGTTACCCTGGTGCTCACCGACTTGAAGCTTCATATCCGACTCGGCACCCTTGAAGAAGGACAGGAGCGTGTTCGTGCTGAAGAATCCTCGGGCAGAGGGATCTGATGATGTGACGACAGCGTCGGGGCCTTTGCCTCCCGCAAATGTGATAGTCTTGACGGTAGCGAAGATCTTCAGACCTTCGATGTCCAACAGGGTGCGCTGACCGGGGGCGAAGAAGTGCATCTGGAAGAAACGCTCAAAGACCTTGGCCAAGTATTCGTGCTTGAACTCGTAGTTGGGATCTCTCTTCATCGAGGCCCAGGACAACTCTAGGTCCATGGCCTCGAGGTGAGTGGCGCCTTGTCTATTCGCATCGTATACCTCACCCTCGAAGGTGTCGGTCATTCCGATCTTGAGCCATGATCGCTGCGGGTCGGACAGACTGATGGTACCCTCGGGAAGTTCAGGTGTTGGTCGCGCCCTGACGACATTCTCTCGTACTGTTCCTCGGACAGGGTCTCTGGCTCGAATCAGGACGTTGATATCCTGGCCGTCGCGGCTCGGGGCGAAGTCTCGGTAGCTGACGCCAGCGCTGGGAGGAAAAGTGTTAGCAGCGGAAGAGAAGAGGTACTGCGTTCCCGAGAGATGCTTACACGTTGGCATAAATGAGCTGGGTCTGCAGGGCCTTGTCCCTGACTTTCTCGATCCTCAGCCGCACACCGGGCTGTCTCGGCGACTGCGGCTGGCCGCGGGGGAGCGGCTTCTCGGGGAAGCTCATGTCTGAGGCGCTCGGTCGGTGTGGCAGAAAGAAAAGGGTCGCTTAGTTGTGAGATCAGTTATATATTCGTACAGCTGGCTTGCTCTGGAGATGTGTTGAGGAAGACGGTGAGGATGGCGAGGGGAGGTTATGTACACTAATGGTGGTAGGTGGAATGGTGATTGTTGGAGGGGCTGCGCGGCTTCGTCTTCGCTTCAAGTCCCCTGGGCCCGGGGAGCGCTAAACCTTGTTTGGGCCAAATGGATACAAGGCGAAGCAGGTACGTATCGAGGGGACCCTTACCTTACCCTTGCCGCAGCGAATGGCATGGAAGATGCGCTGCTGCTTATGTGGATCTCAGCAGTGGTTTGTAACCGTGTTCAATCTGTTTCAACTCTGGCCAGTTTGAGGATGCTCCAGATATTTGCCTTCTTTGCAGAAGCGTTGCCGCCTGTGCAACTTTAGTGCGAGAGGATGTCCAATCATCTTCAGATGTCGAATTTGCGTCGTGAAGTACTACGGTATAGTCCTATTGTACCTTCAGGTAGGTAACAAAGTTTGACAAGGGAAGTTGTTCAGCAATAAGGTATCTATGTGACATGTGCAGCAGTTACAGTGACTGACGGCGGGAAGCAGGCCAAAGTGATGTGGGGCACGCAGCTGCCGTCGCCGGGCCTGACCCACTTCAGGTCTCCAGCTGCCGCCTGACTAATGACGTCGATTGGCTCGAGATGGAGTCTAGTCCCTTTTAGGACTCTTCACTGGAACTGCTTGCTCTCACGGCGGGCAATCCTCCTCACCACATAACTCATCAATAGCTAGCTTCCTTGATGTAAGTTCTTTGGGTTCAAAGCCCATATAACCAGAATGCCGCTGTGAGTTCATATCTCAATTGTTACGGTTGAGGCAGAGACTAAAGGATCTACAGACACCTGCTGGGCAAGAAATCCTGGAACGTCTACAATGCGGACAACATCGCCCGTGTCCGTCGCGATGAGGCTGCCGCAAAGGCCAAGGAGGAGGCCGAGGAGCAGCGCATGCAAGAGGTTGATGCCGAGCGTCGACTAGCTATTCTACGGGGCGAGGAGCCACCACCACTGCTGCCAACTGAGGAAACCCCTGACGATGAGCCAAGACGCCGGGTCCGAGATGCCGGTTCATACGGCAGGGAGAGGAAGAAGCGCAAGCGCGCTGGCGAGGACGACACTGACTTCGAGTTACGTGTCGCAAGAGAGCGTTCAGGCGTCGTGCAAACAGCCAACGAGACCTTGCGCAAGGCAACCAGTTCTGCGCCGATCGTAGATGCAGCTGGGCACATTGACCTCTTTGGCGAAGAACGAAAACAAGGGCGTCACCTCAAGAATGAAGAGGCGGAGAAGGAGGCTGCAAAAAAGAAAAAGGAAATCGAGGACCAGTACACAATGCGATTATCAAATGCCGCCGGCAAGGACGGCATGGTTGGCCCTTGGTACGCAGCATCTGGATCAAGAGCTGAACTAGCAGAGCTCGAGCCCGCCGGCAAAGACGCATTCGGCAACGAAGACCCAGGGAGGAAGAAAAGAGACGAACAGAGGATAGTTGCAAACGATCCTCTTGCAATGATGAAGATGGGAGCATCGAGAGTAAGAGAGGTGAAGAAGGAGCGCCAAAGATTTGAAGCCGAGCGACAGAGAGAGCTGGAGCAGCTGCGCAAGGAGGAGAGACGCAAGGAGAGACACGAGCGGGGGAAACGAGAGCAACGGAGGGATGGAGAACGCCACCCTCGAGATAGGTCTCGTGAAAAGGATGATGGTGAAGCCAGAACCCGTTCGAGAAGGGACAGTGAACGCCAACCTCGGTCCAGTCGAGACGAGGAGCGTCCCCGGAGCAGGGACCGTCATCATGAAAAGAGAAGCCACAGACATGAAAGAAGGGATGAAAGCGATAGGCGATCCAGAAGAGATGAAAAGAGCCGCCACGACAGAAGAGGTGAGACGGAGCAGGAACGAAGTAAACGAGATTCTGATTCACGACAACGAAATGACCACCGGCGGCCTGGAGAACTTCGAAAATCAAGCGAGTTTTAGTTACAGCAGTGAGGATGGTATATCTATCTACGAGAGAAGGGCAGAAAATAGCTGTTCATGATACCAAAGCCAAGCCAATTACGGGCGGTCATCGAAACACCACCATAAGTCCTAGCAAACTAGGCTGACTTGCACAATTTGCCACTATTGAGGTTGTAGTTCCAAGCATCGCTTCCGACACCCGACAGGACGAACAAACTCTCAGTAGGGTCATACTTGCTCTTGATTTCCACCAAACGGTCGTAAGAAGTACCGTAAAAGTCTTCCTTGAACATGGAGTCAAAAGCGTTGCCCTCGTTCATGTACGAGCCAGCATCCGGTGCCCACTCGCGCCAGACGGGCTCCTTGGTCTCTTCCAGCCATTGCGCTACACCATCGAGAGCCTCCTGGGGCGCTGCGTTGGGATCCGCCGATGCGCCGTAGCTCATCAGGTGGATGTAGGTTGAGCGCCACATCGGGTTGAGGGCACCCCGCATTACTTCGGGGACGTTGCGAGGTCCCAGCCCGCCCTGAAGACCGATGACCATGAGAGCGCTACCTGTGGGGTTCTGCGGCACATTGAGACGCTGGAGGTATGCAGACACGGCCGAAATCGGTGTCTCCACGAGTTCCTTGCGTCCGAGGAGGCGACTGGTCATCATCCCGGCCCCGGCTACGCTGGGCGATGTGTTCAGGCTTTCAAAGAAGCTCATAAAGTCAGGCTGCGACGACGGCTCGCTCAGGGTGACTGTAACGGAGTTGTTGCCCACCTCGGCAAGGATGCGTGCTCGAACGGGCTCGAGGAGCGAGATCATCTTCTCTGCTGTCGTGTTGTACGCGAAGAAGCCGATGGAGGCGGTGACCTTGCGGACAGTCTCGGTCGAGTTGGCCGGCAGAGCTCCCGCGCTGACCATGCCGGTCCCCGTGAGGGTCGCGTCCATCAGGTCAGGCACACTGGCGAGCAGGGCCGCGGCACCTCTCCAAGCGGCCTCTCTGGAGACGGTGTCGTTACCGACGGCGGACACTTGGATGCCGCTGGAGACCACGTTGCCCGGCGGGGGGTTCGCCTTGATGACGTACTCGGAGACGAGGCCGTACTGGCCGGCGCCTCCACCGCGGACGGCCCAGAGAAGGTCCTGGTTCTGCGCCTCGTTGGCGACGAGGATGTGGCCGTCGGTCGTCACGACGCGCACTTGCAAAATCTGGTCTGCTGCGAGGCCGTATGTGCTTGAGAGAGGGCCGTGGCCGCCTCCCTGCATATGTCCGCCGACTCCGACTGTCTCGTCGACGCCCCCGACGACGACCTTGTTGAACTTGGCTGCTCCTCGAGAGGCGGAGCCCCAGTTGTGGCCGCTTCCCAAGGTGAGTGCCGCCTCGGTTCTGTTATCGCTGGGAGATCTCCACTCGGGGTGGTACTCGAATTGCTTGAAGTTGTGAGTCCAGATGGACAGCGAGTAGGCGCCGGAAGAGCTAAAGTCGGGCTTAGCAAACTGTAAGCTCTGGGGATACAATGAAGTTTATCTTACCGGCCGTTGAGGTCGTGTCCAGTTCCTTTGATAACGATACGAATGTTCCGCGCGCTGGCCCAGCCCATGGCAGTGGCAACCTGCTCCTCCGTCGTGGCGTTCACAACGTACTGCGGCGCGCCGCCAATCTCGCAGCCCTTGGCCGCAGACTCGCTCGGAGGGAGACACGAGTTATTGGCGTAGATGGAGGAGTCGATGGACTCGGGAAGGGATGCGTGGTAGGCGGAGTACCCCCATCCCTTCTCAACGTCCTCACACGACTGCGAGGAGCCGAAAGGGTTTCCGGCGTAGCAGGAGGATGCCGCGGGCCGAGTCTTGATGAGAACACCGTTGATTGTTGCGTTCAGTGCCGACCAGTCCTCATCGGACGGCCATGCGGCGTCGTCAGGGGTGATTTTGCACGTCTGCTGCGCAGAAGCGCCTAGAGCGCAGATGGCGACAAGGAACGAGATGGCGGTTTTGGCTGCCATTGTGGTAACGAGAGAAGTTGATGGGCTTGTATGCGTGCCTATGAGATACTCCCAATGGAAAAAGGCCATGGTGCAGTCTCGATTGCCATTTTTGTATCAGAATGGAGAACTCCACCATCTCCTCATTTTCGTATCGTTGAACGACATTTCAATTTCGCCTCATTTGCCATCGCTACAGATTCTCAGTGCCATTTCGTCACGATACTAGTTGTACCGGTCCAAGTTACATCAGACGGAAAGGTTCCACAAGGCTATGTCAACAGCGCGGAGGGCATGAGGGTATCTCCCCTGATTGTCGAGCCTCCGAGACGCGTACAACATGCCGTTGCCAGTGTGACAAGGTTGGGGAAAACGGAGTATCGAGAAAAAATCCACATGCGGTTCGGTGTTTGTAATGACGATATGCCTCTGGAGCCACCTCCCAGACTAAGTGAGGACCGCCGTACGCGGTGCCAAGTCCGAATAGCTCCCTGCGATCGGCCACTTGCCGGTGGCCCTGTACACTAGTGCAGAAGAAATAGAATCTAAATCCCAGTCATAACGTGTACTGTGACTCGTCACCCAGTCGTTATCCTAGGACAAGGGAGGGATGGATTGGGTAAAACTAAGAATTAAGGCTGGATACTAAAACAGGGGCCGGACATCGTAACCCCCAAAATAATCGTATCCAAAACGAGCGAATTTTCGCAAAAAATACGGAAATGTTTTGATTGGCTCATCGCCATCCCCGCTGACGACTTACACGCACGAAAGGACCAAAGCAACCAAGATGACATTGAGCAGCGGCCTGTAGAAAATTTGCGTCTCTTCATTCCCAGATGTCTCAACCAGTCGTAGCAAGGATAAAGATCCATTGACTTTTTGTCCCCCGGGAAGGAGTACCGAAATTCGTTCCTCTTCCTCCCCCTCCTCTCCATTCTACTCTCAAATCCCTACCATTCATCAGTCTCCAATTGTTCTCTCCCCTGAATGCAAACGTCTTTTTTTCTCATCCAGCCAACATATCGATAAACTTGGACTTCCATCCTCTACAAGTACTTGCAGCTTGTAAACACGAACCACATACCACAAGCCGAGCCATGAACACGGACTACTGGCAACTCTCAGGCGCCTTCGGCCTCTGGGTCCGCGCCTGCATCCGAATCCTCCAGTTCGTCTTCGCCATCGTCACGATAGGCCTCTACGCCGCCACTCTCGCCTCCTGGAATACCCTCCCGACAGAAAACCTCAGTAGGACAAACTGGATCTACGCGCTCGTCCCAGCCGTCCTCTCGGCGCTGACGTGCGCCTACCACGTCTTCGCGACAGTCACACACGCCGCCTGGTCCGTATGGGACTTTGGGCTGGCCGTCCTCTGGGCCGCGCTGTGCGGCCTGTCTTCTGCCATTGTTGTGGGCGGCGAGAAGAGTATCAACGTCACGGGCGATGTCAAGTCCAGGCTTGCTGCGGGTGCTTGGATCGCGGGAATTAGTATGTTGCTGTGGCTACTGAGCTCTGTTCACGGGTGCGCATTCTGTTGCGCGTCGAGGAAGATGAAAAGGACGGTGAAGAAGCAGGAGGCGGAAGGGGATAAGCTTGAATTAGAGGGTCTTCCGAATAGTCGGGAAGAGAACGTTTAGATGGACTGAGGGGTTCGGACTAATATGCAACACACACAGGCACGGCGTTGGATTTGTTGGCGAAAAACGGGTGATCACTGGAAGGCATATAGAGATTTATCGAGTTTTGGAAGCAAGACAGCTCGTGAGACTGAGCAAAGCACATTTTAATTCTGGCAATATCCGGCATCTTTGGACAGAAAAGTCTCGTAGAATAGTAACAAGATCGCTCAAGTGACTACAAGAAAAACGACAGAGACCACAATCAGACTTTTCTAAGCAGCAGGGAACACCTCCCTCCGCTCTACGGTCACCCCGAAGCAGCGAGACCAGTTGAGTTTCGGGCTGCTCATTTCGTATTCATGGCGTTGGATGCCTAGCTGATAGTAAAAAGTAGATCCACTGGCTAACCTGGGAGTAGCCGACTTCCTGACGCGGCCCTACCCAGGAGGCTATGCGGCAAGGTACAAGGTAGATCAAGGTATGCTTAAGTCTCTTTATATGTACTTGACCCTGCCCCTCCCTGTCTCCTACTTCAGTCCCACGTCCTCTTTTACTGTCCACTTCCAACACCACACAGCAATTCAGCACGTGAAGCACACAAACATGGAAGGCGAAAAGAGAGAGACGTTTGGATCGTCTAGAGAGTCGAAGGCTTCGGTCTTGGGGCTCGAGGATCTCTACCTTGAAGGTAAAGCAGCCCAAAGACTACGTAGTAGCCCTTAAGCACCAACTTAACACGCTCTTCAACATAAGACGAGCCATCCAGCTCAACGCAAGCCGAAGACCAAACGCCGCCCGAGTACACCCCCCAATACACGCCTCAACGCCAATGGCCAATGCCTCTCAACATCGTAGTCCAAGTCGTCGGCTCTCGAGGCGACGTCCAGCCCTTCCTCGCCCTCGCCTCCGCCCTCCAGAAAGCAGGCCACCGCGTCCGCATCGCAACGCACCCGCAGTTCTCCTCCTTTGTCCTCGAATCCAACAACTCCGTCCCGAACTCCCCAAACAAAATCGAGTTCTTCCCCGTCGGCGGCGACCCGGCCGATCTGATGGCCTACATGGTGGAGTCCCCCTCCCTGATCCCCAAAATGTCCCAGATCCGCGCAGGCATCATCCAGCGGAAGCGCGACATGTACGTCGAGATGCTCGACGGCTTCTGGCGGTCCTGCGTCCACCCGGACCCCCTTTCCAACGTGCCATTTGTCGCCGACGCCATTATTGCCAATCCGCCGAGCTTCGCCCACGTGCACTGTGCCCAGGCGCTGGGGATCCCGGTGCATCTCATGTTTACGATGCCGTGGAGCAGTACCAAGGCGTTCCCGCACCCATTGGCGAATATTGGATTTTCAAAGGCGGATAAGAAGAGTACGAATCATGCTTCGTATGCTGCTGTTGAGTTTTTGACGTGGCAGGGGTGAAGTTGTTTCTCTTCACATGCGAGTGACTGCGTTGCTGACGGCGAAATAGCTTGGGAGATCTAGTCAATGCGTGGAGAGTCCAGTCACTTGGCTTAGAACCAGTTCCGTCTACGGAGGGACATCGCATACTGGAAAGTCTGCAAGTCCCTTTTACATACTGTTGGTCACCCTCTCTCGTGCCCAAGCCCAGCGACTGGGGTCCGCACATCGGTAAGTTTTCACCGCAAGATCTCCTTGACGAAGAGTCAAGCTAAGCATCAACAACAGATATCAGCGGCTTCTTCTTCCGCGATCCGGCACCGTATACGCCACCTCACGACCTCGAAGCCTTCCTCAAGGCCGGACCACCACCCATATACGTCGGATTCGGGAGCATCGTGGTTGGCGGAATCGAGGGCCTCATGACCATGGTCCTCAGCGCAATCAAGGCGACAGGAGTCAGAGCTATTATTTCAAGAGGCTGGAGCAACTTGAACGGCGAGGAGTCGGACAACGTGTTTTACGTGGGCGATTGCCCGCACGAGTGGCTATTCCAGCAAGTCGCCGCCGTCATCCACCACGGCGGTGCCGGTACTACAGCCTGCGGACTGAGATACGGAAAGCCTACGACCATTGTTCCCTTCTTTGGAGAGTGAGTAGAAACATCACATCACCTGGGTCACATTGTTACTGACACTTGCCCCATAGCCAACCGTTCTGGGGCGCCGTCGTAGCAGAAGCCGGCGCAGGACCAGACCCCATCCCCTACCGCTCCCTCACATCTCAAAAGTTGATCCAGGCCATCCAGCTCTGCCTCTCCCCGGACGCCGTCCACTCGGCCAGAAAGCTCGCCGACGCGATGCAGAGGGAGAACGGCGTCCAGGCCGCCGTCGACGCCTTCCACGCCAACCTACCGCAATCGAAAATGGGCTGCGACTTCTTCTCCGACCAGCCCGCGGCGCTGGTCTACGGCAGGGGCAAGAAGCAAGTCAAGATGTGTAGGCCCGTCGCGTCCATCTTGGTCAAGAATGGGAAATTGCAGCGGAAGCAGCTCAAGTCGTGCGTGGTTAACTCATACACTCGATTCAAAGACCTTCTCCATGCCGCTTGTTACTGACACTGTTCTGTTGCAGATACCGATCGAAACCGACAAACATTGAGAACCAAAGATGGGATCCCCTGACGGCAGTATCAGCAGCCTCCCTCTCGACAATCGTCAAAATGGCAGGTGCCACAGCCGACATCATTGTAAAGCCCTTTGAACAGTACAAGCGCACCAGTGAGTCCGGCGAGAATCTCGAAGAGCAGCAACCCGAGAACACGCAACGACACAGTCAAGCACCCGCGTTCGCCATGCTGCCCCTCCCCGGCGTCGGTGTTCCGGACGGGGCAGTGGCGGCAGCATCACCAGTAGGCGAGAAAACTTCCTCGGCCCAGCCGCCGCCATCCAGGGGTAGCCAAGACTCATCCTCCAACGGCGCAAAACCAGGCGCCATGGCAGCCGCAGCGGCCAACGGCGTAGGCAAACTCGCGGGCAACGCGACGAAAGGTCTACTCGTCGACATACCCCTCGCCGTGACGGAGGGTCTCCGCGCGGTGCCGAACCTCTACGGCGAGCCCGTCCGCAAACACGACGCCGTCGAGGGGTTCCGCAGCGGCGTGTCGGTGGCGGGCAAGACGTTCTGTCAGGACATGAAGGGCGGGCTGACGGACATTTTTGTTCACACATATACGGGCAAAAAGGAGCAGGGCGCGCTGGGGGCGGCCAAGGGGCTTGGGAAGGGGGTTGTTAGTCTTGTGACGAAGAGTACTGCTGCGACGTTTGGGTTGGTGAGTTATCCGGCGCAGGGGATCTATAGGAGTATATGGGCTGCGTCGTATGCGGATACGAGGAGGAGTATTGAGGATGAGAAGTTGTTGGAGGGGGATTGGATGGTGTCCATGAGCCCTGGGTGGAAGATGGATCATGCTGCTATTGTGGAGGATTTTGAGGGGATGAAGGGGACTAGAGGATAGTGATGAGTTAATTTTATCTTGTTGGAATGAGGTCGTAATAGTTGTCAGCACCTCTAGCTGTTTTCTTTTTCGTACTTGGATGTGTCTTGCAAGGCGTTGCGGTAGACATGGGATTAGTGTGGCTCATGCTTGAACCAGGAACCAGACCTTCATCTTGACCGTCATCATCCTGTGATTGATCCCCGCAGGATGGACCTTCTAGAAGAATTCGATAGCTTATTTCATATGTGTTATTTTGCCGTGCCTAACTTGTACAGTTCCTCCACATCTAGGCTAGGTATCGTGACCACAACACAGCCATTGCCACATTGACTTATACGGGATCGTGGCAGTGATCTACCAAACCATAGTGGCACGGATGATTAGGCACCGCGCATTGTCAGCTTAGTGACTATGTACTAAGTAGTCAACCTCGTACAAGATGGGATTGACGATGGAATTGCAAGATCGTGGTCGAGGGATGCACCACGGCGCAGGGGTGGCGGAAAAGGAAGGCTTCTGGAAGGATTCGCCGGCGGGGCATTCGTCGGTGGCTGAGCTTATCAGGGAATATTTGGAGCAGTAAGATCTACAATTTCTGTCGAAGAGAACTCAGCTGCTTCCCACATTTGCACAGCAAGCGAGACCACGCAGTAAGACGACAAGGATAGTGTAGAATGAAATCAGTCAACCATTCAAGCCTTGTGGGGTCTGCATTCGCCCTGCGGAAGCATGTGACGAAGGTTATGGGTTCAACGTGGAGACGGTCTCGCCGGGTGCTGGATTCGGTGAGAGTCGGGCAGAGATCGCAGCCGCCCGCGGGTCGCCACCGGAAATTGGTGTTGGGTTGTCGGGACGAAGGCGGAGGATCGGCCGAAGTTCTGGCCAATCCGGAGGATGATGTCAAGTTTTTTCAAAGACGCAAAGATATTTGATGGGCGGAAAGGCAGAAATTGTAAGCTGTCGCTCAAGTTCGCCGGGCGACAAATATTGGCGGGGCAGTGCCGGGTCACGCGTGCCGGAGAGACGCTAGGGCCACTTTCGGAAAGGTGGAGACATGCGGCCGGCGTGGATTGGCCGATCCGGAGGCTGAGAGTTGTGAATGGCTTTCTGCCCAGAAGCTGGGCGGCGACGGTAGATTGAGTGGAGAAGACACCACTTTACCTTACGGAGTACATTGTAAGGATATGCACGAGCGGTTGGAGGCGCATTCCCAAGAGCGGAGTCAATGAAGTCATTCCTTGGTCTCCAAATTCCTCGGACTTTGAGAGAGGCTCTGCGATGAAGGATCCGTTGGTGGATGATTTACTGGCCGCAGGAGCCGTTAGGTAACGGAAAGATACCTTACCTTAGGTAGGTAGAGTAAGCCACTCGATATGCCATGCAATTGTTAACTGAAAGCAGTCGGCGAACAATCACGATGTCTGACTTGAGGGTATAGTATTCGTAGTGTAGGATTCTCCAAATCTCGGCGCTGGGGTTCCATGATATCATGCCACTCTGCCATGCCCTCCCTTGGCGGAAGTCGGCACGCGCGAGGGCGTTGATTGGCTGTTGAGCATGTTGGGGTGGCAGGGCCCCGAATATCATGACACAGAGATGAATGATGTGTGAAACGTTCTCCGTTGGCGTGTGACATTTAGTCGATAGTGGCAGCAATTCAATTGCCCCTGGCAGACAGACAGCCGCCCGGAGCTTGTCAAGATCAGACGGCGCGTTTGAATGGGATGGTGTGCAATTTTTCTCGGAGAGGTTGGAGAAGGGCAAAGGTGCCACGACCGACCGCCCGTCC